TCCGTCCATGCATAACTGAAATCCGGGTCCGGAATGGTGAAAATGTGCGATTTCAATGCATTTTCAGTCTTAAAGCGGCCACCATTTGGCTATCGTTAATGAGATCATGAAACAAATGCACATACATATTTGTGACATGATGTACCTTGTGTGTGTGAAGTTTGAACTCGATCAATCCAAGCATGTCTCAGATACGGATCCAGAACTGAATTCTTTAAAACAAAATGGCCGCCAGTCGACCATTTCTAACCCGATCCAAAAAAAAAAATGACGTGCATCAAGGTCCTATTATGTTTAATGTATGTACCAAATTTGAACAAAATCCGTCCATGCATAACTGAGATTAAAATGGCCGCTATTCGTCTATCGTTAATCGGATCATGAAAAAAATGCATGTGCATATGTCCCATATAATGTGTGAAGTTTGAGTGAAGTTTGAACTTAATCGGTCCATGCATGTTCGAGATACAGGTGATCACGGACGGACGGACGGACGGACGGACGCACACAGGGCAAAACATAAGTCCCCGTTTTCGGACTACGTCCGAACGGGGACTAACAACACAAATTGTATAAACAATTACGATTACGATGCCATTGGGGTTGAATCATTATTAAGAAGGGATTTCCACTTATTCGTGGGTGAAGCTACATCACGGAACTTTCTATATTGCTAAGACGTGAATTACTGTACCATGTATTTGTATGTGTTTGGAACGCAGTTTGAAAAGCCAATAAAAAACAGCTAAAATCGAGCAAACTGTCAATCCTGAACAACCATTTGTTTCTGTATTGTACACCAGGAGAGTCTCAACAACTAATCAAAATACTTTTTTTTTAAAGTTTTGGACCATTGTCTTCCCCGACTGATTGAAAGGCGGTACAATTGGGTATGACTGCAAAACAGGCGTAGACCATAAACTAAAAGTGAATTTAAACAAATCCATGGTTGTCGTAATAGCTAACATGACAAATCATGAAATGGCAGAATTGGAATGCATCGATGTAAAATCACTTTCGAAAATGTGTCTGATTGGCACCTCACATTTTAGACAGGTACCCAACTTCATTTGACAGACAATTCTACAAACCTGTCCAATTTTGAGAGCAGATTACCTGTAAATAACAAAATAACCAAAATTAATCAAAAAACAAAAAATCGACTAAGTCTATGACTACATATATCTTCTGCTATTTTTCACTTTGGTATTTAGACATGTACATTTTATTTTCTGTCTATGTGAATCATATATACACATACAGAAAGTAAACACAATACAACAGTCTAGCGATGCTTTGATTACTTGTGCCTGTGACTGAATGCAATTCGCCTATAGTAAACTGGCAGCGGAAATATTCTAATATTCAGTCACCCATAGCAATGATACCCTGCTTAAAAATGTCACGGATTAGTTCAAACATGTAATGTATATTTATCGGTAACATAGGTAACATATCAACATTTTTTCTGAATGCAATGAGGGCATTTTTACTACTGTAATACTCCTTAAATGTACAATTTTTTCAATGATCTCAGAAATAAATGTGAGGTTGGATTCTGAACAGTAGTTTCCTAGCATGTAATAAGTATGAGTACATGAGTATGCCTAGGTAAAGATCAGTAGAGAGTGATATGCTAACTATATTGGTGATAGGTCAGACGGTGTCACATTTATTATTTATTATAAGTAGGGGATTAATCCCATACAATATATTCAGTCAATTCATATAATTTATTATAATTTGCAAACAACTGGTGATTAATTTGAGATGTACACAAGTTGGAAATGTTAAGAGTGTTTGCATAAAATAAGTTGTCAGAGACCAATCACATTCTCTGCATAGTTGCGAATTTATTATGGAGAGTACACTTTTTTGGTTGATTAATTAGTCCGTTCAGACGCAGTTCGAAAACGGAGACTTGTGTTTTGACCTCCGTGCGTCCGTGTTCCGTCCATGCATCCGAACCTGTATCTTAGAAATGCTGTAAACTGGCGGCCATTTTGTTTTAATGAATGTGGTTCAAGTGCCATATCTCTGACATGCTTTGACTGACTATGTTCAAATTTCATATATTCATTATACATGTATTCAAAATGGCTGATTTTGTTTTAATTAATGCTGTTCCAGAGCAATATCTCTCAATACTCGTTTGACGATCAGATACAAATGTCAATCATTTTAATGTTAAACAATCATAATAATCATATTCCTGACATGTTTATGTTCCAGCTATATTACTATAAACAAAACTATGCATTTTAAATTCGATAACTAACATGCATGACTTGTTATCTCAATTTTTCTTGGAGATGATTTTGCGAATTTATTTTACTTGGAGTTTTGTCTGAAGACAGTTATTCTTATTGTCTCTGGGAAATGATTTAAAACACTCAGCAGTGGTGTCTGTAATGATCAACGAGTGCATTTAGAGATATGATAAAGATAACGACATAGTTTCAGGGCCATTTATATTATCACAACATTGAACGATAAATTTATCGTAAGGTTTCCGGGATACCAACAAGTATACCATTGAGTCGAAAGCTACACCACACTTATTAGGTTATAGAGTTAATGACTTTCTGTTGCATTTTAAAGTCATTCATGATAGCTATATTATGGTGCTTGGTACTATTACATCAAATATTTATTTATATGAAGGTAGACAGTATTATGGGATTGTGGATCCACACACATCAGAACACTATTCAGAGTTAGCAAAAATATTACACATCCTAGTCCCATTATCACAATAAATACATATGTTTTGATATCAAAGAGCAAGAAAACAATGTCCACCTAACTATTTGAATAAAATCATACATGCGACTGCAAAAACAATATCATTCAGCCGTAAAAAAAATACGGACGTGTTTAAGGTAGCGAGACTATTATTTGCATACTTGTTTTCATCTTTTAATTGTGAATAAATGGCTACAAAAAGATCCAGGAAAGTATATATTTTTGGAATCGCCAGACTTCAAGCTTTTCAAAAGTGTGTTTGTCATGCCCGTATCTGTAAAGGTAAAAAATGACTTTTTCTGTAAAAAAATAATTACGCACATATGCTGGTGATGAGAATTATTTTTTTACTTCTCGTAGTTGTTCAATAGTCTGGTAAATTGTATGTGTCTTGTCAGGTTTATTCAAGCAACGCGTTTTGAAAAGTAGTGTGCTGAATTTAATTTGTTTTATTTAGCTCCATGCCCCAAGTCAAAACACAACACGAAATGCACGAAATAGTTTGTCTGGACACATTCAAGTTCCTCTTCTTGTCACCTTAAAGCTGTGAAAAATTGATGTTAATCCGACGACAATAAGTATACTTTATTTTTTGTTAAAGACCTTGTATTTTGACAAAAATAAACTCATGTGTAGGGACATCCAAATGTATAAGGCTATTGGAAAAAATAAAGAAATAGGATAACTATAATTCGAAAAAATCGGCAGATGAGAACACCAAAATCAATAATTTTTTTAGTGGCTGTGTGACCTTGTGTCTGACACATTCATATGCAAATGCTAATCTGTGAAACAAACAGGGGCGAAGACCAACAACTCAAGTGTTTGTAAACACTCATTGTGTGTCAGATTGCTACTGATAACACATCCTAACATTATGGATTACATGAGATGGCGAATGAGTGCAAGCATGGACTCTAGTACGTCCATGGTGCAAGACCCCCAAATGCAGACGGGCAGTAGTTAATTCAGTTAAGACCACGAAACAATCAAGCAGTCGGCAACGTAAACACAAGGCTCGAGCAGTCACAGCGCAATCAGGTGTACAAAAGACACTCCCAGAACTTCAATTAGTTTTGAAAAATTGCATCGATTGTTCAGGGCTCAGGCTACGATAGCATGGACGTACTAACATGTCTATGACTATAGATAGTACCATAGTCTGATTTCCGAGTGTGAACATTCATACTTCTCAGG